TGGAGCTGGGAGCCCAATGCGGGACTCGATCCCGAGACTCTGGGATCATGACCTGAGCCGAAGGCAGTCGTCCAACCAACTGAGCCACCCAGGCGTCCCTAATTTACTTATTTTTATTTATTTTTTTCATTATGTTCAGTTAGCCAAAAGGTAGTACATCATAAGTTTTTGTTGTATTGTTCAGTGACTGTGTGATGGGTATTGACATAATTTGATAAAGGATTTCTATCATAATTTCATTACTAGTTTATTTGCTATGTCAATATAATACCTAACAACTATGGAGATGAAACACTGAATGGCATTTATCTGCAGCACTTACAAAAAGCAAAAAAAAAAATATTTAAAGCTAAAAATGTCTTTGTAAGCATCAGTTTGATTGCATCGCAGAAGATTTATTGTGTTGTACTTTCATGATCATTCAACTCATAATATTTTCTGGTTTCCATATTATGATTTGGTTTTTGACCTATACTTGTGTAGAAGTGAATTTTTATCTTTGGAAACATTTCAGAAATACCTGTTTTTAAGTTCTAAGTTAATTCTGAGGGCTTCAGAATATATGCATTTTTTATATTAATCATCTGAAATTTATAGATGCTTGTTTTACAGCCCAGAACATTCTGATAAATATATTGTGAGCATTTGAAAACAATGTATAATCTGTAGTTTGGGAGTAAAATGTTCAATTAGGTCAATTTGATTAATCCTGTTGAACTTGTATGGCCCTGGTGATTTTTTTTTCTCTTCCTGTTATTGGTTACCAATGGAAGGTATTAAACTCTCAAAATCCAGTTATAACTTTGGCTGTCCTTTAATTCTGTTGACTTTTGCTTTGTATATTTTAAAGCTATGTTATTAGATACATAAGAAATGTAGGATTACCGTTATATTCTTGAATTGTATGACATGTCTCTATTACTTTTAATACATCTTGCATTAAAGCCTATTGTATCTGTTATTAATATACTCATACTAGCATTTTTCTTGTTACTGTCTAATATATTTGTCTTTGTGTTTAAAGTATGTTTCTTATAAGCAGCATAATTGATTCTGTTTTTCTTTTGAATTTAATCTGACAATCTTAGATTTTAACTGCAATGTTTAGTACATCTACATTTTACTACAATTACTAATACATTTGGTTTAAATCTGTCATCTTGCAATATAGTCTGTTTGTCCTTTATTTTCTTTCTCTTTTCCTGTCTCCTTTTGTATTAATCAGGTGTTTTTATTATTTCATTTTATCTCTTCTATTAGGTTTTTCTGGTTGTACATTTTTTGTGTAATTCTTTTAGTAGTTAACTGAGCTATTATAGAATGCATCTTTAAGACAGTCTCCCTTAAATTAGGTCTTTTACTACATATCAAATAATGTAAAACTTCTTAATAGTTTAGCTCCATTTATGCTAGTATTGTCATTTCTTCTTCCTATATTACAAGCCACACAAGCATTGTTGTTTTTGTTGCTTTAAACAGCATTTGTTTAGTCATATTAGTCATATATTTTCTATATCATAGCTTTTTGCACGTCCATGCTTTCACCTGGAATTATTTGCCTTTAGCCTGACTGCTGTCCTTTAATATTTCTTGTATTGTAGATCTGTTAGTAAGAAATTCTCTAAGCTTTTGTTAGAAAATATCTTTCATTCACTTGCATTTATGAAAGATATTTTCTCCAGGTATAAAATTAACAGTTGTCATTTTTTTCTCTCAGTACTTTGAAGATATAATTCCATTCTTCAGGCCACTACAATTTCTATTGAGAAATGAACTCTTTTTCTTTTAAAAAAAATATTATTTATTTGAGAGATGGTGAGAGAGAGCATGAGAGGGGAGAGGGTCAGAGGGAGAAGCAGACTCCCTGTGGAGCAGGGAGCCCCATGCAGGACTAGACTCCGGGACTCTGGGATCACAACCCGAGCCAAAGGCAGTTCCTGAACCAACTGAGCCACCCAGGAGCCCGAATTCTTTTTCTTATTGTTGTTTTCTTATAACTGATATCCTTTTTTTAAACTACATACTATTATGATATATTTGTAAACTTTGTTTTTCAACAGTTTGGTGATGCTGTGCCTAGGTATGGATTTCCTTCTTTTATCTGGTTAGGTTTGATGAGTTTTTTATTTTATGTATCAAAACATTTCTGAGATTTGTGATGTTTTTGTCCATTATTTCTTCAAATAAATTTTCTGTCCTATTTTTTAGGTGTTCAATTTCATGGTTTGACTGTCTCCTGTATTTCTTTTGTTCTTTCCTTTTTTCTCTCTTTGTAAGATTATTGTTAATTTGACTTTACATTGACCACCCAGTGTATTCTTTTTTTTTTTTTAAGATTTTATTTATTTATTTGACAGAGAGGGATCACAAGTAGGCAGAGAGGCAGGCAGAGAGAGAGAGGGGGAGGCAGGCTTCCTGCTGAGCAGAGAGCCCAATGAGGGGCTTCAATCCCAGGACCCTGGGATCGTGACCTGAGCCGAAGGCAGAGGCTTTAACCCACTGAGCCACCCAGGCACCCCTATGCAATGCATTCTTAACTTTTGGTATTATATTTTTATAATTATAAGTGTTCATATGAATCTTTAAGATTCTAAATATCTATTGATATGCTTCATTTTGCGTTCTGACTGAGCCAGGCAGGTGCCCCCCACCTTTTCTAAGTAATCTCTGTACCCAACATGAGGCTTTAACTAACAACCCTGAGATCAGTAGTTGCATGCTCTATCAACTGAACCTATTTTGGGGTGCCTGGGTGGCTCAGTGGGTTAAAGCCTCTGCCTTCGGCTCAGGTCATGGTCCCAGCGTCCTGAGATTGAGCCCCACATCGGGCTCTCTGCTCAGTGGGGAGCCTGCTTCCCCTTCTCTCTCTGCATGCCTATATAGGAATGTGATTCAAAACACATCACTCCTTCTGCCTACTTGTGATCTGTCAAATAAATAAATAAAATCTTAAAAAAAAAACTGAACCCATTTTGCCCATGTTTTCCTCTATTTTTTTTTAGCATCATAATCATAATATTTTCAAGTCCTTGTCTACTAGTTCCACTATGTAGGTCATCCCTGGGTCTGTTTCTACTGAGATGTTTTCTCTTGATTGTCAGAGTATCTTTGATATTTGATTATCTTTCCTGTTTCTTTGCATGTTTAGTAATTGTTATTGTATGGTGGCATTGTGATGATATACAGATTCTGGATAATGTTCTCTTTCTTTAATGAGTTTACTTCAGGGTTTTTCAAACTTCGTTTGTTGATATTTTTGTCCAGATGATTCTTTGTTGTAGGGGGCTTTCCTGTGCAGTATGGGATGTTTACAGCATCGCTGGTTCTCTATCTAATAGAAACAATGTCACCTCTATGCACATTTTGACAACCAAATATGTCTTCAGACATTGCTGAATGTTCCCCTATTGAGAACCAATGGTCTGTACAATCATCTTCAGAGTCTACTTCATTTTCCATTTTATGAGTGCACTATAGTTTATTTAATCAGCCACTCATCTCAGTGCCTTTAGACTTAGTACCTTTAGATTTCTCTCCGGTTTTTTAAAAAAATTTAACTAGTATCTATCATATTTCTTTCTATATCTCTAGGTGCATTTTATGGATATTTCCTTTGGATGGAGATTCAGATATGACCTTACATGTTTAAATTCTTATGCAGAATTCTGCTTACATGTCACAACTGCTCTAGGTTTTCACAAGTCTACAGGACACCATAACAATGCTCCTTTCCCTATAACCTTACTCTGTGTGGTGCATGATCAACCTTTAAAGTCTGAAAATTGAATTCCTATAAGTGATAGTACCTTGTTGCTTAAAAACAGCTCTTCAGTAAATCTTTTGTTAGGTAATATCTTAATTATCTGTTCTAAGGTTTCACACAAGGGAACAAAAAATCTAGGTTTAAAAGGCAATGGTTGGAAAAATAAGTTGGCTTTATAACTATAGGAATGTGATTCAAAACACATCACTTCTACTTATTGTTTGTGATACAAGGAAATTTCTTTAATTCTTTGAACTTTCATTTTTTCATCTGTTGAATTGAGATAATAACTACATTGTGGAATTAAATGTCAATATGTATAGACTACCCATCACATAGAAGGTTGCAAAAATCTATGTGTTAAGCATGAGTTCACTTCTCTCTAGTGGGTACTGGTGGGTTGGTTGCTGGGGGCACAGGCAATGACTCATGCCAGCAAAGTAGATCCTGATAGGGAAATCCAGGTTGGTTATCGCAGAGTATCTTGAGAGTCATAGGTCTGGCTTAGGGGAAAGGCTTCAGATGGGAAGGCATTTTTACAGTGGTCAAGATTTCCAGGTTCATCTCTACTGCTTTCTTTTACCTGGTGCAAAAGATTTCATGTCCAGGTCCATCCCAAAGACATGAAGTTTGTTGAAGTTTGTGTTGTGTGGCATGCTCTTTACTGTGGAAGATAGGCCTGAATGAGAAGCTACTTGGTATCACTGAACAACCTAGGCTGGGTTCAGTTGGCCTGATAAGTATGAGAAATTAGGCAGTGTGGGTGTCTGGATCTAGCTTTGGTGCAAGAATGTCTCTGTTCTTTATCCACTCTTGTGTGCTTTGTATCTGTAGGTACAGGGAAGGGCTTGGCTTTGTCTGAACTTCTCATATCCCCTGACACGTGTTCATGTGTTTGGGAGGGTGGAGAGTGGGCAAGGACAGTGGAAAGCAGGAAAAAAAAAAAAGGAAAGAACAGGGGTGCCTGGGTGGCTCAGTGGGTTAAGCCTCTGCCTTTGGCTCAGGTCATGATCTCAGGGTCCTGGGATAGAGCCCTGCGTCAGACTCTCTGCTTGTCAGGGAGCCTGTTTCCCCCTCTCTCTCTGCCTGCTTCTCTGCGTACTTGTGATCTCTCTCTCAAATAAATAAATAAAATCTTTAAAAAAAAAAGAGGAAAAAAGAAAGGCTATATTACCTTAAATAATTGTTGGAGTTCTAAGATAAAACAGATCTCAAGGCCTCTTTTTTCCTCTCCTAGCTCTGGCGTCTCTGCAATTGTATTCTCTAATAGAGGAAACCTGAGGAAGATCAGCAGTTTGAAAACCATGGCGCAGGTAAGTGGATGCCTGTCTCCCTCCTGAAATACTATGATGTTTAACTCATATAAAACTTTCATTCTTTATCTGCATACCCCTTACCTAGGAAGGCTGTATCTCTGACTCTATTTCATGGTTTCTCCCCTTACAGAGGATGGTCCTCCTCTGATCCCTTTTTTCTGATTTTCAATTATTCATCTTCTATATGTTCAATCTTTTCTCAAGAGCACTGTTGGAGCAGTGCAAGAGTGAAGTACCTTGAAGGAAATATTTGAGCTTCCCTTGTCAGGTTTGTGGTTTTATGATATAGAAATAATGGTCCTGGGCCACCTGTGTGACTCAGTTGGTTAAGCATCCAACTCTTGATTTCAGCTCAGGTCATGATCTCAAGATCATGACATCAAGCCCCATGTTGAGCTCCACGCCCAGCATGGATTCTCTCTCTCTCCCTCTTCTTCTGCTTCCCCCATGAAAAATAAAATAAAATAAGGCCCTATTTGACCACAGGAGAGAAAACTTTCTCCTCAGTTTTCCAGGAAGATAAGGGAAAATTGGGTTATGAATGGTTTCAGACTCAGGTGTGAGATGAGAACTCAGCTTTGAAAAGCTTTTAGGTTTGGGTAGAAATGGTATTGGTGCCGCTGACACAGACAGACAGACAGATAGACATCAGGGCCCCGGCTATGGAAATCACTGAGAATTTTGTATTGAAAGAGAAATTGCTGGTCTTGAGTAAATCAGTGTTGTTCTGATCATCCTACATTAGTGTGTTCTAACTAGGAACAGGAGTTCAGTAAGGGATTGTAGAAAGGAAGATCATCTAGAACTACAAGTGGTAGATGATACTGAACAGTGGGGAAGAGGTTAGGATTTGTGTCCAACCTAAATATCATAATAGTATAATACTTAAAAATTTAATATTATTTTAATATTATTAATTACCTTAATACTTTAAGGAAGATTAAATCTAATGTCTGTAAGAAGGAATAAATGAGAACATTAACTTGTGAGAATAAAGGAAGTGCTTATGAGGCATTATCTGACATATATTATCTTGATAAAATTTCTTATTTCTACACAAACTCCATTTCCTAAGATAGACACTTTATCAACTTTTGGAAGTGTAACTGACATATAATTAAGTGTATGTATCTTGTCTCTCTTTTTTTGTAGCTCAATTCTTTAAATACACATGTTTATTTTGATGTACACCGTATTATTTTTATTTCTTTTCAGCGTAACAATATTCATTGTTTTTGCACCACACCCAGTGCTCCATGCAATATGTGCCCTCCCTAATACCCAACACCTTGTTCCCCCAACCTCCCACCCCCCGCCCCTTCAAGACCCTCAGGTTGTTTTTCAGAGTCCATAGTCTCTCATGGTTCACCTTCCCTTCCAATTTCCCTCAACTCCCTTCTCCTCTCCATCTCCCCATGTCCTCCATGTTATTAGTTATGCTCCACAAATTAGTGAAACCATACGATAATTGACTCTCTCTGCTTGACTTATTTCACTCAGCATAATCTCTTCCAGTCCCATCCATGTTGCTACAAAAGTTGGGTATTCATCCTTTCTGATGGAGGCATCATACTCCATAGTGTATATGGACCACATCTTCCTTATCCATTCGTCCGTTGAAGGGCATATTGGTTCTTTCCATAGTTTGGTGACCATGGCCATTGTTGCTGCTGCTGTATCTTGTCTTTTTAAAGCAGATTTGTTGAAATATAGTTGACACTAAATTGCTTATATTTAAAGTGTAGAATTTAATAAATGTTGACTTATATATATCTGTGAAACTATTACCATAGCCAAGATAATGAACATATCCATCATTCCAAAATTTTTCTCATGCCCCTTTGTAATTGCCCTTTCCTACCTGCCCCCAAAATTGTCCTTCATGCCCAGGCAACTGCTGTTCTGCTTTCTGCCACTATAGGTTGATTTGCATGTTCTAGAATTTTATATAAATGGAATCATACATCATGGCTTTTTTTAATCTTATTTCATTCAGCATATTTATTTTGAGATTCATCCATATTGCTGCATATATTAGTAGTGCATTCCATTTAAGTGCTGATTAGTCTTCTATTTGTTATTCTAATTTTAATACTAAATTTAGTATTCTAATATTAGTATTCTCAGTATATACAAAAATTTGTATATCCACTCCTCTGTTCATGGATGTTTGAGTTCTTTCCACTTTTTGTTATTATAAGTAAAACTGCTTCATGCACAAATCTTTGTGTGGACATATGCCTTCATTTCTCTTAGGTAAACACTAGGAGTGGAGTGGCTGGGGAATAAGAAATCAATAAATTATTTTTCTTTTTTTTAATAAACTATTTTTCAAAGTGATTTACTGCTTTACATTTCCACCATCAATGTGTGAGAGTTCCATTTCTTTTCACATCTCCAGCAGTGCTTAAAATGGTCAGCCTATTAAATTCTAGCCATTCTAATAATTGTGTAGTAATACTGTCTCCTAGCAGTAAGCCATGGCAATCATAGGGCTCACTTCATTTGTTATTTGTCTCTCAGGGGAATCACTGCCCAATATTTTCTGTCTCGAAAACCATTGTTTTCTCCAATTTGTCCATGTTCTTTGTTATTTCACATGGGAGGTTAAATCTGATCCATGTTACTCCATCTTAACTCTAAGAGACTTTATAATTCATTTTGGAGAAAAATGAACAATTCTTTTTATATATTCCTTGAAGAGGAAAAACATAAGAACTTGTATTTACTAGTAGTATGTGATTCATGTACACGGCAGGTCATGTTCTTATATATACTGTTTCATTTAATTGGAGAAGTCTCTTTATTTTATTCATTTTCATACATTTAGATATTTCAGTTTTCCTTTACTTTTAAAGAAATTTTGTGCACTCCAACAGGATTCTTCAAGACTGTGTTGGCACTCTATTTTAGAAGCTAATGTGTTTATTCTCATCTAATCGTGTCATGGTAACTTCAGCTTGTTTTTCTACATTGTCCCCTTACTGCAATTTAGTCATTCCATCTCGAACATTTTTTTCTTTACTGTTACGAACAATAATACATGGTTTGTCTTTTCAGGTGCCATTGACATTCAGTGATGTTGCCATAGACTTCTCTCAGGAGGAGTGGGAATGCCTAAATTCCGATCAGAGGGATTTGTACAGAGATGTGATGTTGGAGAATTATACTAACTTGGTCTCACTGGGTAAGGACATCTGCCTGAAGTCATGTAGACTCTGCTATCTGGAATAGCTGCTTTCACCACTGTGTATTTTATGCTCTTTGCTGGGAAACCAGATAAATTTATCCATATTCATATTCTCCATATTCCCAAAGGCCTAGTTGGACCTTTGTTAGATGAAAATGGACATCTCCATTCAGCACCTGAATCTTTTCTTTCATTTACCTTCCTTCTTCCCTCTACCCCATCCTGCAATTCTTTCTTTTTCTAAAATAAAGGTTTAAATTCTAGGACTTTTTCTGCATAACCAACAGCAAAAAAACCAGATTTCATATTATGTGTATGTCCAGAATATGTACAAATATCCATTTTAATTGCTGGTCCACCTACATGAAAACAGGTAACACAGGGTCCTGGTTTTCTCTTTGCTACAAACGAACCTTGGTAAATTTTACAGTGTAGAATGAATCAAGAACGTTATCTTTTTAGTATTATTTTTATACTTATAGCAGTGGAAATGTTGGCTTGCAGTGATTTTTTGGTTTCTACCAAGAAGTGAACATCTTCCTTCAGTTTTTGGAAAATACTTGACTATTCTTTCATCTCTTCTGGACTCACATTTATAGCTATGTTAGAGCTTTCAAGTGTATCTTACAGTTCTATCATGTATATATCTCCTTTTATCTCTCTTCTATTGACCTATATTTCAGCTCACTTATCCTGTATTCTGCTATGATGAGTCTGCTCTTAAAGATGGGTTTTTCATATCATATGTTGTCTTTTTCAGTTCCAGAAATTCAGTTTGTCTTATAACATCTAATTATCTTTTACAATTCTTCATTCTTTATTTACTTTCTTTTCATTACTGTTTATTCATCTGTGGGTATGCTTATATTTCTTCTTTTCTCTGGTTATTCATCATATGGTAATTCCTCTTCAAGTTACTAGTAATTGTAATTCTATGCTGGATATTGTGTACAATAGAACTGAATGGAGACACTTGGGTGGCCCAGTCAGTTGGGCCTCTGACTCTTGGTTTCCGCTCAGGTCATGATCTGAGGATTATGGGATCAAGCCCCACTTAGTCTCCTTGTCCATCCCCCTCTATTCTTCTTCCTGCTTTCTCTCCTTCTCTCTCTCTCAAATAAATAAATAAAATCTTTAAAAAAAAAGAACTGAATTGTTTCCAGATGATGGTATCTTCCACCAGAGTATTTACATTTTCCTCTATTAATCAGGAGAGAGGCAGACTGATCACTATAATATAATTAGGGATTGAGCTGGGTCAGTGCTGGTTTTCAGTTTTGGTCATTCTCAGCTACTATATATATATATATATATATATATATATATATATAATCCCATATATATATGGAATTTTGCCTTTACTGCTAGCTGCACTCAGAATCAGTAAGTTTCTGCAGGGGAAAAGTGGTAGATCCTCAGGGCCAATTCACCACTTTGTCATGGCTCTTATTGTTTATCTCTTTTGATTTCAAGCTTCCTCTCCCAATGGGTCTTTTGTTTTTTTGGTTTTTTTTTAAAGATTTTATTTATTTATTTGACAGACAGAGATCACAAGTAGGCAGAGAGACAGTCAGAGAGAGGGGAGGAAGCAGGCTCCCTGCTGAGCAGAGAGCCTGATGCGGGCCTCGATCCCAGGACCCTGGGACCATGACCTGAGCCGAAGGCAGAGGCTTTAACCCACTGAGCCACCCAGGTGCCCCCAATGGGTCTTTTGATTCCAGAAGAAATGTTGAAAATTAATAAGCGGATCATCTATTTGATATACCAGGAAAAGTAGAGCACAACAGATTTAAAGAAAGTAGAAGAAAGGAAATAATAAAGGAAAGAACAGAAATTAATGAAATAAAAAGCCAAACATACAAAAGAGAAAGCCACAACTATAAATTTCATTATCTCAAAGAAAGAATACAAGTGATGCAATTCTATCAACATGAATCAAGAAAAAAAAATTTATGTAAGGAAAAAAGTCACCACATTACAAAAACCATGAAGCCTTGAAAATATGATATTTTGAGAAACATTTTGCCAAAAACTTTGAGAAATCAAATGAAATAAATTATTAGAAAATTTTAATCTACAAAAATTCCACTAAAACAAAACAAAACAAAACAGCTCACCTATGTGACTCAGTTGGTTAAGCATCTATCTGCCTTCAGCTCAGGTCATAATCCCAGCGTCCTGGAATCGAGCTCCACCTCGGGCTTCCTGCTCAGCAGGGAAGTCTGCCTCTCCCTCTTCAATTACTTCTCCCACCGCTCATGCTCTCTCTCAATCTCTGTCTCAAGTAAATATTTTTAAAATAAAAACATGAAATATATTTATAATAGCTCTTTCAGTATCCTTATCTACTAATTATATTATCTGTATCATTCCTTGGTATGTTTCTTTTGATTAATTTTCTCCTAGTAAAGGTCATACTTTCTAGCTATTTTGCATGCCTGATAATTTTTTATTAGATGCCAGACATTGTGAAGTTTACTGGGTCGGGATGCTGGATTCCTAATATTCTTTTAATATCCTAGGACTTTGTTCTTGGATGTAGCTATTTAATTTAGAATCTGTCAATACTTTCATGAGTTGCCTTAAAGCTTTGTTAGGGTGGGTCCAGAATACGTTTCCGTCTAGTGCTAACTTGACCCCACCACTGAGGCAATATCCTTCTAGGGACTACTTTTGATGCCTCGTGTCTTATGAGACCTTTCCACTCTGGTTGGTGGAAACAAGAACTATCCCCTACCCTTTGTGACTTCCAGGGGATGTCCTGCTTACTCCTATCAAGTAGTACATTCTTCGTTTTCATTAGTTTCCTCACACAGATGTCTAGATTCACATTCAGCCGGGTATCAAGGAGTTTCCTCTACAGATCTCTAGAGATCTCTCTGTGCAGCTCCCTCCTTTCTAGTACTCTGCCTTGCAAATTCTGCACTTCGTTCTTTCCCTTAATTCTCTCCTCTGTCTTCTCAACTCAGGGATACAGCTGCAGTATTTTAGTTTCCCCTCCATGTGCTTTGTTCTGGAAATTCTCTTTAGACAGTCAACTATGGTACTCGGCGGGGCACACTTCATTTGTTTCCCTTCCCCTGGGAAATTTCTATCCTGCACTATCTATTTTCCAATATTTGAAAGATGTCTCATACATTTTTTAAATTTTCTAGTTATTTAAGGTAGGAGGGCAAATTTGATCCCTCTTAATGTTGCATGACCAAAAGCACAAATTATTAACTCTGTCTTTGAAAGCTTCTTTGCACTTTAGTACAAGAGGTCTTAGAATCACCTTGTATCTTCCCTGCCCTGGACTAGGAATTAGCTATTTCTCCAAAGCACCCTCATTAACATCAGTGGGAAATAGTTTGGAGAGACCTGGACAACTGGAAAGCTAATTGTAAACCACTTTTTGTGGGATAAATACACAATTTTTAAAATTATTCTGTGGAAATTGGTCTGTTTAGATTTTCCGTCTCTTCTGGAATCTGTTTCAGTTATTGTCTCTTACTTTTATTTTAAAATAATTTTAGATTCACCAAAGAGTTACAAAGGTGGTACAAAGAGTTCTAGTATATCATTCCCATAATGATAACATCTTACATAACTGTGGTACATTTGTGAAAACTATCAAATTAACATTTTACAATACTATAAACTGAATATTTTATTTAGATTTCAGCAGTTTTTGCACTAATGTCTTTTTTTCTGTTTCAGGATCCAATCCAGGATACCACATTACTTTTAGTCATCCTGTGTCCTTTGTTTCCAAATGTGACAGTCTCTGTTTTTCCTTCTCTTTTTTGACCTTGATACTCTTGAAGATACTGTTTGGTCAGGTATTTAGTAGAGTGCCTCCAAATTTTGGCGTGTTTGGTGTTTTCTTATTATTAAACTCAGATTATGGATTTGGGGGAAGAATACCAGAGAAGTACCCTTCTCATTGTATACCAGGGGCACATGATATCAACATGATTCATCAGTGGGGTGCTAACCTTAAAAACTTGTGTAAAGTGGTATCTGCTGGTTTTCTTCATTGAGAAGTTATTTTCTTCCCTTTTCATATTTTATTTATTAGAAACAAGTTAGTAAATTTAACTGGGTTTGGTTTTTATAAACTATATTTTAAAAAATTCATCATTTCATGTACATCTCAAATTTATTTGCATAGTTGTCTTGAATGGGTTTCTTAAACATTCTCTGTTTCCTTATTGATAACTGTTTCCCTACTGTCATTGTGTTTAGATTTTCCTCCTATCTTTTGGTCCTTGAATAGGTAGTCTACTGGTTTGTTTGCACATGTTAATTGTACAATTTTATTTAAAATTTGTTTTTATTATATTAATTTCCCTTTTCTGTTTTCCTTCAGCAGACTTTATCATTCACTTTCTAAGTTTTTTCTTTTCCTAATTTTGGATTTAATATTCATTCATTTTCATTCTTTAATTTTTCATTAGATGTAAGCCTTTTAGTCTATGAGTTTTCAGTAGTACAGTTAAAGGCCATAGATTCTGATGTATTATTTTTTATTATCATTGTTTTCAAGAAGTTCTGTGGTTTCAGTTTGTACTTATCATTCACTAATAGTAGTTTTTGATTTTTATTTATCAATACAAAGTATTTTGGCTTTTGGGCATTGCTTCCTATTTCTCATTATTTCAGAGAATATTGTTCGCTTTACTTCAGCTTTTTGAACATATTGTACTTCATTTATAGGAGAATCCCACTTGCCTTCAACTCGTACTTGACCCAGTTAGCCCATTAGAGTTCTTCAGACTGCTTCACTATCCAGATAGGCAAATTTTAGCCTATATTCAACATTTCTTTTGTTGCAGCATCCCAGGTATTTGGTTTCCCAAAGGCTGTTCCCATAGCACTTACTTTATTTTTTCCCCAATATCCTCCAGTTTAATTTAATAGATTTTCATAAGCCTTCTATAATTACATTAACTATTGCAATTCCTGAAATAAATGTCTGTGAAATTCAAGAATAATTGGTCTTGGCTATAAAGGAATGGAAGGGAGAATTCGGGAAAGTCATTAGAGAAACAAAACAGTGAGCATCAGTAGGATGGATGAATAATATTAAAACTCTGCTGATGAAGGTAATATACCATCTGATTATCTTGATTGAGATAAAGCAGAAAACAATCATGACTAAGCACAGGGAAGATGGAACAATGGTGGTAGAGACATGCGTATCAATATAAGGTAATAAGCAATTGGAGAATGATCAGGTGTCACCTATTTCCATTTATGTTTTTGACTGAGCTGGTTTGGAAGTCCATATTTCTCAACTTTAAGGTAAATGATAGAAGAAAACATTTTTTACTATAATATGGTATGAGAGATTAGTCAGGGAGAGATTATTGATAACTGTCACATAATTTTCAGAAACTAAATGGATATTTTACTCAGCTGCCTTCCCCAGTAGCCTTAATATTTGTTCTTATTTACTTTCACCCAAGTTAATTTTTTAAATTCAGCATTTTATCTTATAATTAATATTTACCTTGTGGTAAGGACTTGTTTGCAGTAGTAGAAGAAAATACATAGTAAAATAAATGAGAAAATAAATATGTAATAGAGAAAAGTATTTTGAAGGCAAAAATTAACTGTTGGAATATAGAATAAAAGGATATGAATTTACTTAGAGTTAGCAGAGGCAGCCTTTCTGAAGAAGTGATTTCTAATCTGCAGCACCCAAAGATAGTAATTTAAAGGAACTAGGTAAAAGGATTTCTGAAAGGTGGAGCACCTGTAAGAAGCCCCAGGAGATAGGAAAGTTTATGGTATGTCTTAGTAGCTGAAGAGATTCATTGGGATAGTATATAGGGAACAAAAATGCCAAGGGATCGAGATGAGTTTGTGTAAAAAGATCCTTTTTGTTCATGATTACGTGTTTAGGGTTCTATTCTAACATAAGGACAAACCATTGAAAAAATTACATAGATCCGTCTGATAGATAATGTTAGAAATATAGATGACCAGAACCTACTCCTCTAGATTCTGATTCACTCAGTCTCAGCAGATATCTAGAAGGTAGTGTATATAAGAAACTCCCTCTATAGCTTTGGTCCACATTAAATATGAGTACTACTGACTTTTTCTCTTTGCTTATTCACAAACTTCATAGTTCTCAATATGAACTTTCATAATTTTCTGAGTCCTTCTTGCCTTTTAAAAATTTCATGACAGGGGCACCTGGGTGGCTCAGTGGGTTAAAGCCTCTCCCTTGGGCTCAGGTCATGATCCCAGGGTCCTGGGATCGAGCCCCACATCGGGCTCTCTGCTCTGCAGGGAGCCTGCTCCCCCCTCTCTCTCTGCCTGCATCTCTGCCTACTTGTGATCTCTGTGCTAAATAAATAAATAAAATCTTTTTAAAAAATTAAAGAATAAAAAAAATTCATGACGGTATTTTAGGATTTTATGACCCTCTTACTTCTAGTGAATATACTTCTCAATTTGTCACATTTTTACTCTAAGAGGCTCCTCCTCATCCCCAGTATAGTAAAATAGCATTTGTTTATTTTGTTTTCTTTCAGACTTTGATTTTACAACTGAGACCAACAAGTTATCTTCAGAAAAAAGCAGTTATCAAGTAAATTCATATCATCGGGAGACAATGAAAAGAAGTAAAACCTTCAACCTTACGAGGTTTACTTTCAGAAATGACCCACAGTGCAGAATTGAATTTGGGAGAGAACAGGGGCCTAACATGGAATGTTTTAGTCAAATGACATTTATAAAACATATATCTCTTCCTCTACACCAGAGAATTCACACTAGAGAGAAATCCTATGAATGTAAGGAATGTAGGAGGGGCTTTAGAAAATATTCACACCTTACTGAACATTTCAGAGACCATAATGGTGTGAGACCCTATGAATGTAAGGAATGTGGAAAAGCCTTTATAGTCCTCCAGCATTTTGTTAGACATAAAAAAAATCACACTGATTTGAAACCCTATGAATGTAATGGATGTGAGAAAGCCTTTAGGTTTTATTCACAGCTTATTCAACATCAGATCATTCATACTGGTGTAAAACCCTATGAATGTAAGCAATGTGGGAAGTCTTTTAGACGTTATTCTCACCTTACTGAACATCAAAAAATACATATTGGTTTGAAACCCTACGAATGTAAGGAATGTGGAGAAACTTTTAGATTGTACCGACATATGTGCCTACATCAGAAAATTCATCATGGTGTGAAACCCTATATATGCAAGGAATGTGGGAAGGCCTTTGGTCATCGTTCAAGTCTTTATCAACATAAGAAAATCCATTCTGGTGAGAAACCATATAAATGTAAACAGTGTGGAAAGGCCTTTGTTCGCAGCTATCTACTTATTGAACATCAGAGAAGTCATACTGGTGAGAAGCCTCATGAATGTAAGGAATGTGGGAAGGCCTTTAGTAGGGGCTCAAGCCTTCTTAAACATAAGAGAATTCATAGCAGTGAGAAACTCTATGACTGTAAGGACTGCGGGAAGGCCTTCTGTAGAGGCTCTCAACTTACGCAACATCAAAGAATTCATACTGGTGAGAAGCCACATGAATGCAAAGAATGTGGGAAGACATTTAAGCTTCATTCATACCTTATTCAACATCAGATCATTCATACTGATTTAAAACCATATGAATGTAAACAATGTGGGAAAGCCTTCAGCCGTATTGGAGACCTTAAAACACACCAGTCAATTCATGCAGGAGAGAAACCCTTTGAATGTAAGGAATGTGGAAAAAGCTTTAGACTTAATTCTCAACTGATTTATCATCAGACAATTCATACAGGTTTGAAACCTTATATATGTAAGGAATGTGAGAAGGCTTTTCGTTCTATCTCAGGTCTCTCTCAACATAAGAGAATTCATACCGGTGAAAAACCCTATGAATGTAAAGAATGTGGGAAGGCCTTTAATCGCGGCGATCGACTTACTCAACATCAGAGAATTCATACTGGTGTGAAACCACACAAATGTAAGCAATGTGGAAAGACCTCTACTCGTTGCTATCAACTTACTCAACATCAAAGATTTCATAGTGGTGAGAAACTCCTGATGTAATGAGAGTCAGAAAGCATTTAACTTTGGCACCTTTACCATTACCACTATTCTACCGCCTAGTGATGTTATGGTAAAGATTAAATTACTTAACATAAAATTTAAATGCTTAGGGGTCATCTGGCACATGGTATTTGCTTACTAAGTATCGTGGCTTTTTAAATGATAATCACTATTATTACTATACATAAATTCATGTGGAAGAAAGACCCTATAAGCGTATTTTTAAAATGTATCAGGGCTCATCCATATTTTCTTCAGATAATTAATTCTGGACAAAAATCCCATTTTTATTCAAAGATCAGGCCCCTGAGGATGAATAATAATAAGAAACCCTGTGCCTTTATTGAATATTGAGAGTTCATCTGTTGAAAAATTGGAGTAGTTTGAAGAAACTTTCTTACAATAAATTCGGCAATACAGATAATATACAATCCACGTGCCCTACAATTGAAATAAATTAAAAACTAACAATCTGGTAGCCAAAGACTAGGTTGACTTTTTTGAGTGAGTTTTTATAAGTTTTCAAATTTACATAAAAAGTACAACAGTGTTGCAATGAAGTTTGTTTGCTCTCCACCTAGATTCAGTATATCTGGTATTTCTCTCGTACATATGAATATGTATATATACAGATGCACATATATATATATATATCATTCTTATTACATGTTGAATATATTTTCCATATATCATTTTGCTGTATTTTTCAGTGACTGTTTTAGATATCACTTCACCTCTAAAAAGTCAACATACAACTCTTAGAATTAAGGATAATCTTCTAGATGACCATTAAACTACAGTTACCTAAAAAACACTAATAATAACCTTATATTCTTCTATAATATTCAGCCTATTTACAAATTTCTCTAATTGGTTAAAGAATATCTTCTAAAAGTACTAGCCTTTTTAAAGTCCAAAAACCAAACTAAGCCAATTTGTTTTATATGACTGTGGTTTATTGGGTCTAATAAAAATTGGTCAACAATTTATCCTCTACCTCCTTACATTTTTTGAAGCCTCAGAAGCAACCTATATAATATTGTAATTCCGTATTTGTCCTGCTTTTTCTCAAGATGGGCTTGACTTCTTCCTCTATCCTTTGTGTCTATTGTGAACTGAAGTTTATGTCCAGAGGCTTGATTTTCAGATTAAATATTTTTATGACTATTTCATAGATATAGTATATTTAATATAAAATATCAGGTGGCATACAAGTGAAACTATGTTTGATCTCTTGATTCACGTATTGACTACCAATTCTCTCTATTGTATTGGTACATTTTTTTCTTTGCAATTAGTAATCCATGTAAAGTTACACTGGCAATCCACTAAACAGGCTATTATTTTAAAGAAATTAGGACACCCCCCCAAACTCTCATATTTTATATTTACCCATATATCTGCCCTTTCCCGTGCTCTTCCTGATTTCCCAATCCCTAATTTTCTGAATTTCCATCTGGTATCGTTTTCTTTTAGCTTGAAGAACTTAATATAGCATTTCTTGGAGTGTACATCTGCTGGAGGTGAATTTTCAGTTTCTTTTACCAAATGCCTTTATTCTTGAAAGATTGTTTTTCTTGCTGTAGAATTCTGGAGTGTGTGTGTATTTTTTAAAAGATAGAAACTGACTTCTGTCCTCCATAGGTTATGATGAGAAGTCATTTGAATTATTTTCCCTCTGTATGTGTCATTTTTCTCTGCATGCTTTTAAGATTTTTCATTACCTGTGGTTTTCATCTATTTGGGTATGCTGGTCTAAATGTGTTTTATGTTACTCCTGTTTTGGGTTCTCTGAGCCTCTGAAATCTGTACAATTATGCTTTCCCCCAAATTTCGGAAACTTTTGTCCATATTCAGATATTTATTTCCTGTCCATGCTTCTCCTTCTGGGATTCTAAATACTTGTGTTAAATCTTTTGATATTGTCCCACAAGTCACTGGCTCTGTTATCTCTCACCATTTTCTCTCTCTCTCTTTTTTAAAGACTTTATTTATTTATTTGACAGAGAGAGATATCACAAGTAGGCAGAGAGGCTGGCAGAGAGAGAGAGGGGGAAACAGGTTCCCCGCTGAGCAAAGGGCCCGACGCGGGCCTCAATCCCGGGACCCTGGGATCACGATCTGAGCCAAAAGCAGAGGCTTCAACCCACTGAGCCACCCAGGCACCCTTTTCCCCTCTTTTTCAGATTGGGTAATTTCTATTGCTCTATCTTCAAGTTTACTGATTCTTTTTCTTGTCATCTCAATTATGCTGTTAAGTTTATCTATCAAAACTTTAATAGTACTTTTCAGTTCTACTATCTTCATTTTGTGCTTTTTTAATAGTTTCTATTTCTTTACTAAGGTTTCCTGTTTCTTCAATGTGTATTTTTCTTAATTTATTTTCAGCATAACAGTATTCATTGTTTTTTGCACCACACCCAGTGCTCCATGCAATCCGTGCCCTCTCCAATACCCACCACCTGGTTCCCCCAACCTCCCATCCCCTGCCCCTTCAAAACCCTCAGATTGTTCTTCAGAGTCTATAGTCTCTCATGGTTCACCTCCTCTTCCAATTTCCCTCAACTCCCTTCTCCTCTCTAACTCCCCTTGTCCTCCATGCTATTTGTTATGCTCCACAAATAAGTGAAACATATGATAATTGACTCTCTCTGCTTGACTTATTTCACTCAGCATAATCTCTTCCAGTCCCGTCCATGTTGCTACAAAAGTTGGGTATTCATCCTTTCTGATGGAGGCATAATACTTCATCGTGTATATGGACCACATCTTCCTCATCCATTCGTCCGTTGAAGGGCATCTTGGTTCTTACCACAGTTTGGCGACCGTGGCCATTGCTGCTATAAACATTAGGGTACAGATGGCCCTTCTTTTCGCTACATCTGTATCTTTGGGGTAAATACCCAGTAGTGCAATTGCAGGGTCATAGGGAAGCTCTATTTTTAATTTCTTGAGGAATCTCCACACTGTTCTCCAAAGTGGCTGCACCAACTTGCATTCCCACCAACAGTGTAAGAGGGTTCCGCTTTCTCCACATCCCCTCCAACACATGTTGTTTCCTGTCTTGCTAATTTTGGCCATTCTAAGTGGTGTAAGGTGGTATCTCAATGTGGTTTTAATTTGAATCTCCCTGATGGCTAGTGATGACGAACATTTTTTCATGTGTCTGATAGCCATTTGTATGTCTTCACTGGAGAAGTGTCTGTTCATATCTTCTGCCCATTTTTTTTAATATGATAGTCTGTTTTGTGTGTGTTGAGTTTGAGGAGTTCTTTATAGATCCTGGAAATCAAAAGCTTCTGCACAGCAAAAGAAACAGTCAACAAAACAAAGAGGCAACCCACGGAATGGGAGAAGATATTTGCAAATGACAATACAGACAAAAGGTTGATATCCAGGATCTTCAATGTGTATTTTGACAATGCTTTTGATTCCAGTGAAAATCTTTCATATATTAATTAATGATAGGAAAATAAGTAAAATTATTTTATCTTATGAAAAGTATCAGTTTCAAGAAATATTCCTACCCTCTTAGCTTGGTCACAAAAACAGCTTTTCCTTTCCTTGGCATTCCAGATTTTGTTTGTTTACATGTAGTGTGATACTGGTGAGAGAACAAATCATGCTGTCATTTTGGAGGTCTTGATTATGAAATATTCGCCAAGTATTTTCTTAAAGAAAGCCTTCGCATTCAAAATACAGTAAATCTGGGGCACCTGGGTAGCTCAGTGGGTTGGGCCTCTGCCTTCAGCTCGCCTCATGATCTCAGGGTCCTCGGATCGAGCCCCGCATTGGGCTCTCTGCTAGTCAGGGAGCCTACTTCCTTCTCTCTCTCTCTCTGCCTGCCTCTCTACCTACTTGTGATCTCTCTCTGTGTGTCAAATAAATAAATAAATAAATAAAAATCTTTTAAAAAATACAGTAAATCTTTGTAAAAAATTTGTAAATTCTTCAACCATTCAACCAATGAGCATTGGCAAAAAACAAGATAAATAAATTCATTTCTTCTCTGTTTCTTTCAACAGTTCCATAAAGCAACAGTAATTCATAATATTTGTGTGTATATACTAAACCATCATACTTTTCATACTGTGGAGTAAATCAGTTAGGGAGACATCAAGCTCTTTAAAATTTACAGCATTCACATTTTTAACGTAGCATGGCTGGTTAATTTATTTTTTAAGATTTTATTTATTTGAGAGAGAGAGAGAGAGAGATATCACAAGTAGGCAGAGAGGCAGGCAGAGAGAGAGGAGGAGGCAGCGTCTCTGCAGAGCAGAGAGCCCGATGTGGGGCTCTATCCCAGGACTCTGGGATCATGACCTGAGCTGAAGGCAGAGGCTTTAACCCACTGAGCCACCCAGGCGCCCCAGCTGTTAATTTTAATAGAATTTTTTTTCATATCTAGTTGAAATTCTTTTTTGACATATATAAAAGATTTTAAGGTATCTGTGCTATGAATCTGATTTTGTAGGCTGCAGATTGACAACATTTCTATTTGATTTGGAAGTCTTTTGAGGCAGAAGGTACCCAGAGTAAAGTGGAAAATATTTTATCGTACAATTTGTCTAAAGGTAGAGAAGAATATATATGTAGCTTTACTAATTTTGAATTAATCTTTGATATTGTTAGGAAGATCTTTTACAGGCACTTGACTAGTGGCTTAAATTTTTTTTTACTTTTTATAAAATATTAATTTTAGCATTTTTGCATAATATCCTAACAAAACTCCCATAACTACAGTAATAATTTATCTTCCTATATTTCCACATAAAATTTGATTTTTGTGTGCGTATAAGACACAAAGCCATTTTATAGCTACACAAAGTTATAAGCTCAGATTATGTTTCAAAGTCATTTAAAAATTTGGTTGCTCATTTAATTATGATTTCAGGCGACTAATTTTATCCCTTTTTGGTTATCAAAAGGAAATATTCTCATCAAATGTGTTATATATTTGCTGCAAATGTCTCACAATATTCTCTATTTTATTAACTTGATTTTTTTTTTACATTATCTAACAGGTTTTTAATTTTGTTCTATTTACCGAAAATTGCAATTAGCATTTGTACTTCTTCTAGTCTCACATTTTTTACTATTCTGGCCTTGTACTGGCTGCTACTTGACTATGAATCATTAGTAAGCTTTCATTGTAAGTTTAAAAATTGCTACACACTTATTTAACCTAGAATAATAATTTAATTATAATTAAAGTAATAAGTATATTTAATTACCAACTATTATTTCCTTCATATCACTGTAACTCATGTTGTCTTCATAAAGTGTCCAAATAAACACATCAGTTCTTGACATCAGCTAGGTCAATGATATGTTTATGTGTGACCCTAGAAACAACATATACATGACATGTATACTATAATACAAAAATAAGATCTATGCAGTACAATGGTTGAAGTCAAATGGAGTCCTACCAAAACAATAAAGTTGTGCAGCTGGTAGAAATGTAAAATGGGACAGTTGCTGTGCTAAACAATATGATGATTCCTCAAAATTTTAAATACAGAATTTAAATTTTAAATATAGAATTATCATTTAATCCAATTCCACTTCTAGGTGTATACCCAAAGAAATTGA